GACCAACTATCTGCTGAGACGTTCCATCAGCAGCTGTAGCACTGCCTTTAATGGTCTTAAAGTCTTTGCTGTCAATTATGTCACTGGCCATGTTTCCACCGACATAACTAATTGATGCGCCAGAGTCTAATAGTCCGTAAACGGTACGATCGAACATGCGAATCGATAAATAGGGACGAGGATCTTTTGGTCCTGCCGGTAGAGAATTGATATATTCCAGTCCGGCTTTACATGCCTTAACCTCTTGCCAAAATGATTTTATTCGGACGGAACTTCGCGTTTTCCGCTTTTCTAATTCTCGTTCATAGTTTATTTCCGGGATATTAATTTTTCCTAATATTGGAATTTTGCTATGAAGCAAAGGACAGTCTGGGGATATTTGTACGTCGGGGAAAAAAGTTGGTGCAATACAGCTGCGTGCTCTATGGATCGGTCATCGTTGCTTGATTCCGAACGCCACTGAAGGCCTTCTGTTTGTATGGCGGCATCAATCCACCCGCTCTGGAGTTTTTTGAGCATTTATTACAGCCGGGTTTGTATGTGTTGGCAGCTCCGCAACCATAGCAAAAGATTCTTCTTTCGGCTACACAGTCCTGATACCTGTGACCTTCCTTGCGGCAAGGACAAGGCTTCGATATCGCCTTCCTTATCAGATTCTGATTCTGAAGGCATCTCCTGATCTGGGCTAAATTCCGAGTCTTCGCGCTTGAAAGGGGAAGGTCTATAATAACCCTGACAACGCTTAACATCAGTCAAAAACGCTTCACGCCTGCGACAAATCTCCCTCAGTTCTGAAACTGATTGAATGTCGATATTGAAGATCTCATGTCTAATTTCGGGACGAAGATTGTTTCGGAGAACCCGAATGAGCTTGTGAGGCGTCCAAGGCTGTTCTAACTGATCGATTAGACTTGAAATGGAGTCATAGAAACAATCGAAGGTTTCGTTCGGCTTTTGTTTGGTGTTCGTAATCAGCTCTTCAAGATCACCATCATCCCTACCCTGTCCAAACTGTAGTCGCAAAGCTGAACAAAATCTATCCCATCGGACTTCGCTATGCGCCTTGTGATATCTCCAATAGAATTCATTAGCTTTCCCTTCGAAAAGCACGCTAGTATTTCTACAAAGAACTGCGAAATTGTTGCCTAACGTTTCCCTAGTTAGTGCTTCAACGCGGTAAATTAAATTGTCTACTGACACTCCTACACCGGAAAATTTTATTTTCCAGCCGTTCAAAATATGAACTACTTATCTGGTCGATTTAATAAATTAGATTCGGCACTTCGTAGCGACGCAGGAGAACAGGGAGCTAAAATCTCTTGCCTAGAATTCACCCCGGTTTCTTCTCTTGTGTCGATCCTATTGTAATCACTTCCGAATTGTTGAGGATTGAAAGGTTGACTCCGCTCTCTCGTAGTTCTATTAGCACCTTGATCGAACATTACCCTTGACATAGCTTCAGAAACGGACTTTTGAATGGAATCGGCCATACTTTCAGTAAGTGTAGCTAGCAATCTTGTCTCCATTGCTAGTAAAGTAATGGCATTTGCAGTAATAACACTTGGATTAGTATTACCGCTGTTAATGGTATTGGAATTGTATCCTGACGTCGAAGCTATATCATCTAATACTTGTCTGTCCGCGTTATCTGTGGGCTGACGGTTCTTCGGTTGACTACGAGTTTGTCGGCTATCTCGACTCTTCGGGAGTGTTGGCCTACAGGAAGCTTTGCATACCGAACACAGTGCACTTTTCTTCCAATGCTCCTCTAAGCATCGTCTATGAAATTCATGCTGACATGATGTAGTGCAAACCTCTACTATGTATACTTCGTCCTTGCATATCGGACAGACGATGTTTGCACCCCTTCCGGTTGCCCTTTCCGGAGTATAGTCTAACCCCATCATGAATAAGGACGATAATGAAATAAGTTTTTAGCAAATGAAATGTGTATAAACGGTAAGATAATAGTTTCTTCAAAAATATCAGCGGTCCGATAATAGATTACGTGATAAGATATAAGAGGTACGCAATAGCTTCAAAAAAATATATATGCGGAACGATAATTGTTGCCGCCATAATTTAAGTTTAATTTAATTTTCTTTGATATATCATTTCCATTGTTATAACTATCGATAGACTTTATCGATGTACCGATATAAATGTATCAAATGTCATGTACGATCTCTAGAAGGGACGCCACTTCAGTTTTGGACAAGATCGAGGAAAAAAGACAAAAGTTTTTAAGCGCTGCCGCTTACCCCGCTACTACGCTATATATTCACATCGATTCGGAAGCAAATAATGAATAAATATGTTTAACGCTATCCGCCTGTGTTGTTATTGTGGCCTGCTCTAAAACCGAAACTTTTCCTCGTCAAACTCGTTGCCAATTACATTCTTAAAAACTTTTGTCTAAATCTGGAAAATTCTTGTGCAGACGTGGCTGCTCTTATAACCGTACATTTACGAAGCGACGATTTCCAATTTGCCATAACATTGTGAAATTGTGATCGCATCCCTACATTTAACGTTAGGTGAGCAACTCGTAATCTACAACCAGAGCAAGTCAAAGCACCCGAAATTACACATACAATTGCAATCAGAACATGCAATTTGCCATTGCCACGTGCAAATTCACATAACCTCAAATTATGAACGAAGCGTGCAGAATTTGCAAGAAGAAGTCGTCTGGATCTGAGGAAAACTGGGTTCAGTGCGACGCGTGCAACAGCTGGTACCATTTTCACTGCGCCGGCGTTGACGACGACATCGAGGATAAAGATTGGATCTGCGCTTCGTGCCTTACCAATAAGCTCAATAAACCCACACGGAAGGACACTGCGATCCCCGGTAAATACCGTAAATCGATCCAACTTCACCGCGCCACCACCCGGCGAAAACAAAATCACGCAGCAAGAGGACGCTCTCATCGACACGGAGGAGCACACCGATGTCCCAAGTATTCTCGACGCTAATTTAAGCGCCAACAGAAACCAAATAATGCTCGACATGTTGAAAGAAAAAAGAGCTTCCGAACAGAGATTTATCGAAGAGAAATATAAAATCCTACTTCAGATGGACGTGCTTCCCGGATCGCCACATGGGTCGTTCCAGATGACGCCTGCATCTCCGTCAAGCTCCCAAATTGCCGCGAGACAAGCTTTACCTAAGGATCTCCCTCCGTTTAGCGGACACCCTGAGGAGTGGCCAATGTTCATCAGTACTTTTGAGCATAGTACTTCAGCTGCGGGATTCTCCAACGTGGAAAATATGCTTCGCCTACAAAGGTGCCTAAAGGGTAGGGCACGCGAAATGGTCAAAGATAAGCTTCTGCTCCCTGGTCTAGTACCGGAAGTAATGGACACGCTGAAAATGTTCTTCGGCAGACCGGAGCACATCCTTGAGAGGATGATCGATCGGGTGAGAAAGCTCCCGCCACCCAAGGAAAAATTGGAAGCCATTATAGAGTACGCGCTCGCAGTACGCAATATTTGCGCCACAATAGAAGCGTGCAAACTGGATGCGCACCTAAACAACCGAATGCTTGTAAAAGAGTTGGTGGACAAACTTCCAAATAATCACAAGCTAAGCTGGGCGATGCAACCGCGCAACGAAACAGTTCCCTGCATTAAGGCTTTTAGTGACTGGCTCTATCAAATAGCTCAAGCTGCGTCGACTGTCGTTACACCGTTTTCTTACAGGGAAGTTCTGTAAACACTCACAATAGCAGCGCAGATAGGAATCCTAACGCCATAAGTCCCAGCCATGCAGCTGCAGTTCAGCAGCAGCCGAATCCAAAATGTATAGCATGCGAATCTACGAATCATTGGGTAACGCAATGCGACCAATTCAAATCCAACACCGTTGAGCAGAGATGGCAAGTTGCAAAAGCTGGAAATGCTTGCTTCCGTTGCTTGAAGGTCCATCGAAACAGTTGTCGTCCGAAGGATTGCGGAGTGAACGGCTGTACAAGGAAGCATCATCCACTACTCCACTCGGAAAATGTTCACAACGCAGCCAACAGCACGATGAATCAACAACACGTAAGCACGCACCAAAGCGACGTAGAAGGTAGCCAGTTTTTCCGAATCGTGCCCGTAACTCTGCATTTCGCCGACAAAAAATTCGACACCTTCGCCTTTTTGGACGAAGGATCCTCTGTTACCTTAATAGAAGCAACAATTTTTGACAAGCTGGGTATAAAAGGCTCACCGTCACCGATATGCTTACAATGGACTGGGGAAACCACACGATTCGAAGATACTTCCGTGCGCGCATCAATTCAGATTTCCGCGGAAAATTCAGAAAAACGGTTCTGGCTCAACAATGTTCAGACTGTAAAAAACATCGCGCTGCCAAAACAAACTGTTGATATAGAGGAACTGCGCAGTAAGTATAGCTACCTGAAGAACCTGCCACTAAAGTCTTATTCTGCGCAGCCAACCTTGTTAATCGGAACAAACAATTGGAAAATTGACGTTCCTCGCTGGATATGCGAAGGCAAAAGGAACGATCCAATAGCTTCAAAATGCATGTTAGGATGGACCATCCAGGGATCATCAAACTCCAAATGCCACGTGTCCATGCACCACTGCGACTGCAATTGGCAAAAGCTTCACGATCAAGTCAAGGAGCAATTCGACCTTGAAATAATTTCTCCTAAAAAGCTACTGTCTAGCGAGGACAAACGAGCAGTCGAAATACTGGAACAGACGTGCCAAAACAAATCTGGAAAATATGAAGTCGGGCTCATATAGCGGAACGACCTTGAAAGGCTCCCCGAAAGTCGAGCTACTGCTCTAAAGCGTCTGCAATGCATGAAAAAAAGGATTCTGGGCGAGCCAGATCTGTACACACAAATCGACGACCAAATCAAAAATCTTCTTTTAAAAGGATACGCAAGGCAACTAACTGACGAGGAGGCTGGAAAAGAGGAAGATCGCACTTGGTACTTACCCATATTCATAGCTTTAAACCCGAATAAGCCAGGAAAAATTATGCTGGTTTGGGACGCGGCGGCAAAGACGAATGAAATATGCCTCAACGACCTTCTGCTGAGCGGCGATATTGCCGAAATGTTCCACAGAATCAACATTCGCCATGAGGACATGCATGCTCAGCGCTTTCTTTGGTACGATGCTAGCCAGAATAAAATAAACACTTACGTAATGAGAGCCATGACCTTCGGAATTAGCTGCGCACCATTTATAGCTCACTACGTGCGCAACAAAAACGCCGAACTCCACCAACATCAATTCCCATTAGCCGTGGACGCGATTCAGCGTGCACACTACGTCGACTTTATCGACAGCATGAGCGACGAGGAAAAAGCCATCGAAATATCCAACCAAGTCAAAGAGGTTCACGCCAGAGACGGATTTGAAATTCGCAACTGGGCATCAAATTCCAGAGAAGTCCTCTCTCATCTTAAAAACGACGGAGACACCGAAAATCAGAAGCCAGTGCAGTTCAGCGCTACAGAAAAGGTTTTGGGTATGTACTGGGACCCACGTAACGACATTTTTAAGTTTGTATGCAGATTCTCAAGACTTAAGCGAGACGTCTTTATTGATACTGCGGTCCCAACTAAAAGAGAAGTTCTCCAGGTCCTAATGTCTATCTTCGACCCCTTGGGTCTGCTATCGTGTCATACCATTGGGCTAAAAATTCTTCTGCAGAAGACCTGGCGCGCAAATATTAACTGGGACGAAGAGCTGCCAGAGTCATTGCTGAAGGACTGGAAACAGTGGAAGCTGTTACTTTCCCAAGTTGCAACAGTCAGCATTCCAAGATGCTACTCCATGGGGATACCAGAAGCAAGCCGCATCGACCTGCATACATTTGTGGATGCTAGCGAGCATGCTTATTCCGCTGCCTGCTATCTGCGGGTGCAGCAAAAGGACAAGGTGGACGTAATGCTCGTGGTCGCTAAAAGCAAAGTGGCGCCACTAAAACCACTGTCCATTCCACGCATGGAGCTCCAAGCAGCAGTGATGGGCTCACGCTTGGCGAAAATGTCCGTAACCTTCAAGTCGACAGTACTACCTTCTGGTCGGACTCACGCACCGTTCTTCAATGGCTGGTTATAGACCCCCACCACTTTCAACAGTTCGTCATGCACAGAATCGGCGAAATCCTCGAAACCACTCGAGCGGATCAATGGCGATGGATCCCGTCAAAACTCAACGTTGCGGACGAGGCTACAAAAGTTATCAACAACCCTCAGACGGACACTTGGCTTTACGGGCCCGAGTTTTTAAAAAACGAACCTAATTCTTGGCCAACGATTCCCTCCAAGCCAGCGGAGGTCGATACAACCGAATTACGTAAACACATCTTCACAACTCGTAAAGCGGCCAAAGTCCAACTCGACATCGAATATTTTTCTGATTGGCGCCGCCTTTACAGAGCCGTTGCAGTCATGTTTCTGTATATCCATCGACTGCGAGCTAAATGCAACAGGACCTGTCGGTCCACCAGGCGTGGTAAGTACAGTTCACGTCGAAGAAGCACAGAATCTGCTATACAAAGAAGCGCAGGGACTCGAGTTCGCAGATGAGCTCAATTCATTGAAGGGTCAGAAACCAATCAGCGCAAAGAGCAGATTGACCGGATTAAACGTATATCTTGACGACAAGGAAATACTTCGCACAAAAGGAAGAGTGAACGCCATCGAAAACTCTGCGGACGCCATAATTTTGCCACCGGAGAGTCGAGTAACATTCCTGCTAGTTCGATTTTATCACGAGAAATATCATCACCTCGCCCACGAAACCGTCATAAAGGACATAAAATCGAAATTTTACATTTTGCGGCTCAGAGTACTCCACAAATCTGTTAGAAAGGCCTGCCAAATATGCAAAAATCGTAGCGCCATGCCACAGCCTCCACAAATGGCTGCAGTTCCAAAAGCCAGGTTGGGAAGTTTTGAAAAACCGTTCACCTTCACTGGAGTTGATTATTTTGGGCCAATTCTCGTCAACGTTGGAAGGCTGGAGTTGATTATTTTGGGCCAATTCTCGTCAACGTTGGAAGGCGCAAAGAGAAGAGATGGGTTGCGCTATTTACTTGCCTGACCTTGCGTGCAGTTCACTTCGAGATCGCCCACAGTCTCGATACAAGCTCCTGTGTGATGTGTCTGACAAATTTTATGGCACTTCGCGGTACCCCGAAGGAAATTTATTCCGATAATGGCACAAATTTCAAGGCTACTGAAAAAGCAGTGCGAGAGCAGATAATCAAAATCGACTTCGACAAAATATCCATTAAGTTCGATGGCATTAAATGGCGATTTAACCCTCCAGGCGCCCCCACATGGGCGGAGCATGGGAAAAGATTGGTTCGCACTACCAATACAGTCCTAAAACACATCTGTCCAAACGATTCATTCAACGACGAAAGCCTGAGAAGTGCTCTAATGGAGGCACAATTCATCATCAACTCACGTCCTTTGTCAGCCTGGACTCTGAAGACGACTCCGCGCTCACTCCAAACCACCTGTTAATGGGATCATCGAACGGGTACAAACCGATCAACCTGGAGCATTTGAATTTGAGACGTCAATGGAACGAGGTAAAACGCTTTGGAGATCGTTTCTGGCAACGTTGGGTGAAGGAGTTTACACCGATGCTTACTAGAAGAACAATGTGGTTTGAGAAGTGCCCGCCAATATCAGTTGAAAGCATAGTCATCATCGTCGACGAGAACTTGCCCCGAAATCTTTGGCTTAAGGGACGCGTAACCAGCACTATTCCGGCCAAGGATGGCCAAGTTCGTCGAGCCACTATTAAAACGCAGCATGGAATTCTCGATCGACCAGCTACCAAGATTGCGGTTCTAGATGTCGGCGAAGGAGAGGGTAACTGACCGCCCTGGGATCAATTACGAAGGGGGGAATGTTGCCGGCATAATTTAAGTTTAATTTAATTTTCTTTGATATATCATTTCCATTGTTATAACTATCGGTAGACTTTATCGATGTACCGATATAAATTTATCAAATGTCATGTACGATCTCTAGAAGGGACGCCACTTCAGTTTTGGACAAGATCGAGGAGAAAAGACAAAAGGTTTTAAGCGCTGCCGCTTACCCCGCTACTACGCTATATATTCACATCGATTCGGAAGCAAATAATGAATAAATATGTTAAACGCTATCCGCCTGTGTTGTTATTGTGGCCTGCTCTAAAACCGAAACTTTTCCTCGTCAAACTCTTTGCCAATTACAATTATAGTTTAGCAAAAATCGAAATCTTTGAAACTAACAAAAAAAATCGAAATAACGTAATCAGGAAATATTAACTGAACTCTTAGCTTGATGCTCTACGACGAAGGATATCTATATTTTATCAAAATCTCTCAGAAATTAGGAAATAAAAGAAAGGGGAAAGAAGTTACCTAATCTTTTGGACTTGGTCAGCTCCGGATTAAAAGCATATAAATCTTCTATTCACAAAAAGGGAAAACAAATTTGGTCATAACATCTTTCTGGATATGGCACAGCTCGTGAGTAATTCCAGTATTTTCCATATAGAGAAGTATATGTACTAATTTAATTTCTTAAATGTGGTTAGCTAAAAACTAGACTTTTGAATCCGGGACAGAAAATCTACCTAGTTCTGGTTTCGGCTTCTGCGATCCTCAGTTCAAGACACCTTGTCTTCTCTGCTATTTATAGGAAAATTCTCTCGTTAATTCTTAATTTTCGGACTGTCAGGAATACTAATAGTCACTCGATCTGTTTTCCAGGAATATTTAAAACTTTAAGAAGGAACTTTGAAAAGAGTAAAGGAAAATGTTAAAGACTGTTAAATGTATGCATCTGTGAGTCTCAATGAATTAAACTGTATCCATTAAGGCCCCACACGTTGGGCGCCACTTTTCTTATTAATAATAATTAATTATCACTGTAGCGAGTAACGTTCGACTAATGTACAAAATGGTTCCAAGGATCTGTATTGGCTGGGCACGCTATATATTCCGGCACTAGCTCGTCGGCTTGGGCGGGTGGAGGTCTTGCTCGTACAGATCTTGACACTGTCTACGTATTACTATTAATAGGATTCGAAATGAGCGTGCTTGCGACAATATCTAAAGCTAGTTACTAAACCGGAGGAAAAGATGCATAATTTAGAAAAAAATAAAGTCTGGAGAAGCAAGAAGAGAGTATTGTAAGGAAATAGTGTAAAAGGACGAGAGAGAGAGAGATTTGTTGTTTGCGAAGCCTGGGATGTTATTAAGCTCGCATTCTGCCCACCCTACCTTCGACCACCTGCCGCTAGAGGATAACTCTGGTGATCCCTTCTATACCCTAGGACCGCAGAGACATCAGCCGAGTTCAGTTGATTAATTATTTAAGCTTTCATTTTAATATTTAATTCCTTGATAGTTAACATATTTGATTTCTTGGTTATTCTAAGCCTAGATGAAACAATTTAAGCGAAATAATACAAAATTAGAATTAAACTGCATGAGTGCATTTTGGGCCTACAAGTGTATATAAGTATATAAGAAAAGTATAATAAGTGTATAAAATGTATATAAACATGTGCTGGAAAAACGGTTAAGATAAGATTGGAAAAAAATTAGTTCTAAAAAATGTAATTTTGAAAGAAATAGTTTGTTCAGAGAAAATTCATTGATTTGTTCTTTATAATTAATATTTATTCTTATTCTTTGGTGGTTTGCTAATTATTTAATGCTATTCTTTTTTTTTCAAAATTAAAAAGTTTTTTTTTCAAGAGTCGATTGAAATAATTCAGTTTTAGGTTTAATTCATTTTGGCAGGGATTACATTTTAATAATGGATTTTTTATAAATTTTCGACCTTGACATTTTTTTTATCGTTTATGAGGATTTTAGTTAGCCCAAATATTTAACTGTTTTCTGATTTATTATCATAATAGTAAACTGACACAGCTGATTCCTCGGCGGACGATCGATCTCCCGACGCAGGCAGGCTGGAAAAAAAATCAAGGCATTCCTGCTTTGATATGGGGTTATCCTTTATCCTTATAAACGTTTAATTTTTTTTTTTTTTGACTAAACCGAATAAAACTTTTGCCAAGGGAGAATAACCTTAAATTTAGCTGTGCCCTCAATGAATCATAACTTAAGGGGGTCTTCTCATTGGGCAACTTTTTTTTTTCGATTTTTTTTTTTTTTGCATTTATTTATAGCTTGGGATGGTGTGTATATGTCCCCAAAAGGATTTTTAGAAATTCGAAATACTTTAGAAGATACAGCCTTTTTTGTGAAGCAAGTTCTTCGCAAAATGAGCTTTTTTCAAACTTCAAACGCGTTTATCTCGAAACCACGTTTTTCGAACTGGCGGCCATGATATCTCCAGTTCAACTGAACCGATTTTCATGAAACAAAGTGGAGTCGACGCAGAATTGTCACCATTCTCGGGTGACGGAACAGATTTTTTTTAAATTTTTTTCTTTTTTTTTTACACTAAACTACAAAAAAAAAGCCCAAAATCGAAATTTTTTTTGAATGGCCGCCATTTTGTTAAAAAAAAATTTTTTAAAAATCTGTTCCGTCACCCGAAAATGACATCAATTCTGATTATAACCCCGTTTTTATTTTTCATTTCGGACGCTCTGGAGACCCTGAATCGTGGCCGCCAGGACGACACCTTTTTTTTCGACCACCAAGTTTGAAGTCTCATTACTCTTTGAACAACCCTCGTATCGAGGCAAGAACAACTTTTTTAGTTACTTTGAACATTTTTGATTACAATAAATAAAAAAAGTTTTCAATTATTCTTTGCGTTTTCAAATAAGATTTTTTTTAAAAAGGGTCCAAAAAACGGCTTTTGAATGAGAAGACCCCCTTAAAGTAAAAACCATGACCATTGGTTTTATGGTTTTTGTGTAACATTACCTGAAAGTCGACCATTTTACCAGTTTTTTTTGGTATGATGCAAAAAACGAATGAAAGTTCAACTTTGAATGCTCATATCTTCTACAAAAAAATCTTAAAATAGATTTTATTGCAGATTCTGAATCCTTGGGAAATTTTCTGTCGAATAAGTATGGTTAAAATCGTTTTTGCGAACATGATTTTTTTCGATTTTTGCAACCCT